GAGGGACCACTTGATGAAGAAGCAGTTCCTGACTGTGTTTGGACTCGAGTCCGTGAACAACCCAGGACCCTTTTTGCAGCAGTACCAGTTATACACCATTTGTGTTCTGTGTGTGTGTGTGTTTTCTTCAGGAGCTTTGTCGTAGAGATGATCCTCATGTTATGTTGTTTTAATGTCTCGTTTGTGCATAATTATTTTTGGGGCTTGGCCATCAACCACTGAGATTCAACAAGACATTGCCCCACAACCCCTAGAATTCGAACGAGCATGGAGGAACCACGCCCTAAAAAGAAATCCACATGGAATCAATCTCTATTCAACCCGAAAGCCGAGCGGGGTGAACGACTCACACGTGGATGACGGACTGACAAAACGAGTTGGTGCACGTGCCCTTGACCCGCTTGGACTTGCGCCTTCTTTCTCCAAAGTGAAGATCACAGCCGCAGACCTAGCTGCAGGCAAGAGCTCGGTGGCCTTAGTTTGTTCGCTTTGTAGTTGGTTTAGTGGTTGGATTTCCGAGTTCAACCGCATTTCCGGCTGTTTCCATGCCCCTGTTAACTTGGTGGTCCCAGCCATCTGGTAGGTTTCAGTTTTTTGGGGGTTTAGGGGTTGGATTTCCGAGTTCAACCGCGTTTCCGGTTGTTTCCATGCCCCTGTTGACTTGGTGATCCCAGCCATCCTGTAGGGTTTTAAGGTTCTTTGGGCTTTAGTGGTGGATTTTCGAATTTAACCCACTAAGAGCTAACTTGCTGGTGCTCAGCAGGGGATGAGAAATGGAACGACCCTTATAAACCATCCAACTGGTGCTTTCCTGTATTGGGGAATCCCAAAACGGTCCACGCATTCCCTATCGCAGCAGCAAGAAAATGCCCAAAACTCACACACCCCTCTTCAGGGACACACGCCCAACACAGCCCCTTGGGAAAGACGAACTGAGCAAGCAAGTAGATTTCCCCTTCAAGAAGCCAACAAAGGGTACCCAAAAACACCATGACACACCCATTAAACCACTACTAGGTCCCCCAGTAGTGCCCTTTTACCCCTTTTTTTGGGGAGGGTTCCCCCACTAAAATAGACTACAGAAAAAAGTTGGTACCCTTATTCTAACCTCTCTACTGGAGGAGCTAAGAGTTATTCACCTTTTAGCAGATCAAGCGGACAGCCCACATTTCGCCCAGGAGAAGCGGCGCCTGGCCGAAGTGGCTGAGCAGAAGGCGGAAGCGGAGCCTTGGCTGAGGGGCATCTTCAGAGGCTCAACCATATGTACATATATATATATATAGATATATATGTATATATGTATGTATATGTATATGTATATATATATATTTATATATGTATGTATGCTACCCCCCCAGGGACCTCCAGGACCAAATAGAACTAGAACCCAGGATCTCTCAACTGGGACTAGGACCAAACTAGGACTAGACGACCCGCCTCACATTAATACAAAAAAAAACTTCAAGTACAACTTCCTTTGTAATGTCCTGTATATTTTCTGATTATTGCAGTAAACTAGGGAGCAACCTAGCACTAGAACCAAGGATCTCTCATCTAGGACCAAACTAGGACTAGATCATTTAGCTCTACTTCTTATAGTATTTGGATGTCAAGTATTACATTCTGGTGGAAAGAAAGTCATTTTTAATATTTGGTTTGAAACAGAATAACGATAAGTTAGACTGGAGATTTTCCTTCTTTTTGTTCTTCTGCTGCTCAGTTAGCAGTTACATAGAACTTGATTAATATGTTAACTATAATTCATAAGGAACTTCCTTTGCATTGTCCTTTGTACGTTCTATTTATTTCAGTAAGCTAGGGCGATAGTAGGCCTGGAACTAAGGATTTCCCAACTAGGACTAGGACCAAACTAGGACTAGACCATCTAAGAGTCTAACTCTAGTTCTGAAAGGTTCTATTGGACAGGAAATCGTTTGTACCATTTAGTTTGACATAGAACAATCAATACTTAAGTTCGAATCTAAATCGAAATTATGGCTGGAGTATGTCCTTCTTGAGCTCCATTGAATTTCAAACAGAAATTGGGTCGAATGTGATAAACCATATTAAGTGGAATTCGTAAGGAAAGAATCCAAAGGTCCAAGACTTGTGTCTTTTCACTAGTCCTAACACTACCATGGTCAGAAAACACCGTAAAACAGTGTTGTGTAGTGCTTTTCATACTCAATTCACATCTCCACCAACGAACACTCGCTAAATGCTCGTTTGAATTTGAACACAGTTTAATTGGGACTCAACACGGAACTATTTGGTCAGAATCCTCATGGTAATCAAATCTGAAACTTCGAGTTTAAATAGAATTCCTTTCCCAATATGTACTTACAATTCAATTAGAGCTTTAACAGGATTTGATAAGGAAAGAACCCAAGCTTGTATTCAACATTCAAGAATCAATATTCTCTAGACAAGTCTTCTTTGCAAACGCGAGTCCAGGCCCGAGTGAAACCCATTGAAACCAACTGAAATTTCAGTTGAGCCTGGGTTCAAGATTCCCTAGAAAACTTTGGCCTACAATCTTGAATGTGGGCCTAGATTGCAACAGATTGAATGAATAATCAGGACTTGGATGCTTGCACAACACTGTGCCAAAGTACAGCTGCGCAAAGTGCAATGTTGAATTTGGGTCTCGATTAAAACCGATTTAAACCGATTTGAACCGATTTAAGTCTAAATCGGGCATGGATTCAAGATTCAATATTCAAGAATCCAGGCCACACTTTTCCAGGGAATCTTGAGCCTCGATTTAAACCGATTTAAACCGATTCAACTTAAATCGGGCATGGATTCAAGATTGAAGATTCAAGAATCCAGGCCAACATGCTTTCAGGGAGTCTTGAATCTTGAATCTTGAATCCATGCCCGATTTAAGTTAAGTAAAATCGGTTTAAATCGGTTTAAATCGAGGCCTGGATTCAAGATTGCCTGGAAAAAACTTGGCCTGGGTTCTTGAATCTTGAATCCATGCCCGATTTAAATTAAATCGGTTTCAATCGGTTTAAATCAAGCCTGAAGCTTCCAGAACGTCCTTGGAAATGCTTCTTTTTTATTGCTCTTCCCAAAGCCCAAAAAAGGGGTAGAACACACTGCACATACCAGTGAATTCTTCAAAAAGGTAGGTCCCTGGGGGGGGACCGTATATATATATTGAGCTGTGTTTTTTTCTTCAGTGTTTTGTGTCGCTGTTTTTTTTTTTTTTTTTTTTTTTTTCCGGGGGGGGGGGGGGGGAGTACCATATATATATATATATACATAGATATGCATGTGTGCATACATATGTGATGTAAGCCAAGATATAAACATTTGCCATCTGACAGAGTCTGCATCCATCTCAGAGTATTGGGACAACCCTGCTTTTGTTTAAATCTGGGATTCAGGATGCGAGATTCAAAAGTCTGAGATTTTTTTTTGGGGGGAAACCTTGAATCTTGAATCTTGCATCTCGGATGTTCCTTTTTGTAAAAGAAAACACAGGGTTGTCCGAGTACTCTAAGTGTTCAACACATACTTCTGCAACCAAGTATACGCACCCATCTGCAGTCATATGCATTTCTCCAAGCTCCCGCAATTTCTGGATTCAAAGTGAGAGGGCAAGATTATCGGAAAAGATTTCAATCCTGAATATTCAATCCAGTGGTCAAATGCTTTCGAGGTTTTAGAGCAACTTGAAAGTTGTTTGGGGCTGGCCCAACTTGAATGTTGTTGGCCAGGATTGACGATTCTCGGGAAAGACTTCTGTGTAATTTTGAATATTGGATCTTCCATCCAGTGGTAACATACTTTCAAGTGCTTCGCGATCCACTGGAACCGCTTTCAAGTTCTCAATTAGACAAACTGTCAAGTGCTTTTGGTGTGCGGTTTGCTTCATGCAAGCTATGCTCATGTTGGCACTTTTCCAGGAGGTAAAGGTAGCTGTAATGCTGAAAACACTGCAGTTTACAGCATTTTCTGAAGATCATGAGGGGTTCTATATGTTTGCATGTATGTATGTATATATATATATATAAATGTTCACACACCGTCACCCCCCCCTCCCGAACTACCTGTCCACCCCTGCTCATCTACTGCCTCCGCCTTTTGAGGTAGAATGAATTATGATTTCCTGCCCAATTAAGACCATAAATACAATTGATTCAGCTTGAATCCCTGTTTCGAAGTAGTTTAAGAATTTGAACCTCTCTGTTCGATTGAAATGTCCATTTTGAAGCACTGTCTAAAAAGCTTGATTTTGGACCTCTCGTATGCTACAAAAGAGCCAGAATGTGAATAACACAAAGCGTATTGCGAATTTCCTTTTAGAAGTCCCGTAAATGTTTAGCCATATTTATTATGGATCATATTTGAGAATTAGTTTCTATTTAACTGTTGTCATCGTATTATATTATTGGCACTTAAAGTATATTTGGGAATCAACTCCTATCTTTTTTTTTTTAAAGATTATTTGGAGTTTACCCGGAATTTTCTCAACATGTTTATTTAACTCCTATTTGGAAAGGATCTTCTTATTTAAGTTGTATTTGAACACAAAGCACATGTTGGAAAACTCTATCCTTACTAAACTATATTCAAAATTCGAATTCTAGTTGAAGTAAAATCCTATTTTAACGCCTCCGGCTCAGGCCGCCGACATTACAGGCCTGCTTTCTTATTTGCGTCCCTTTGGAATTGTCCCCTTGCCCCCTTCCCCTCTGAGATTTTTGCCCCCCTTTCTTTGTTGAGATCCATTCCCCCTTTCCGCCCTAAGGCCTTTTCTCCCTCTGAATTTTTCCCTTTTCCTCCCTAAGATGTTTTCACCCCTCTCCCTGTTGAGATCCTTTCCCCCCTTTCCCCCCTAAGGCCTTTTCCCCCCTGAGATCTTCTCCCTTTTCCTCCCTTTCCCCCACTTTCCCCCCTACGGCCTTTTCCTCCCTGGGATCTTTTTCCTTTCCTCCCTGAGATCTTTCCCCCCTTTCCCTGTTGAGATCCTTTCCCCCCTTTCCCTCCTACGGCCTTTCCCGCTGAGATCTTCTCCCTATTCCTCCTTAAGATCCTTTGCCCCCTTTCCCTGTTGAGATCCTTTCCCCCCTTCCCTTTAAGGCCTTTCCAGATCTTCTCCCTTTTCCTTCCTAAGATTGTTTCCCCCCTTTCCCTGTTGAGATCCTTCCCACCCTTTCCCCCCTCAGGCCTTTCCCCCCCTGAGAGCTTCTCCCTTTTCCTTCCTTAGATCTTTCCCCCCTTTCCCTGTTGGCCTTTTTTCCCCCAGATCTTCTCCCTTTCCTCCCTAAGATCTTTTCCACCCCTTTCCCTGTTGAGATCATTTCTCCCCTTTCCCCCCTACGGCCTTTGCCCCCAGATCTTCTCCCTTTCCTCCCTAAGATCTTTCCCCCCTTTCCCTGCTCAGATCCTTTCCCCCCTTTCCCCCCTAAGGCCTTTCCCCCCCTGAGATCTTCTCCCTTTTCCTCCCTAAGATCTTTTGCCACCTTTCCCTGTTGAGATCCATTCCCCCTTTCCCCCCTAAGGCCCTTTCTCCCTCTGAGTTTTTCCCTTTTCCTCCCTACGATGTTTTCCCCCCTCTCCCTGTTGAGATCCTTTCCCTCCTTTCCCCCCTAAGGCCTTTTTTCCCCCCGCGATCTTCCCCCTTTTCCTTCCTAAGATCTTTTCCCCCCTTTCCTTGTTGAGATCCTTTCCCGCCCTTTCCCCCCTAAGGCGTTTTCCCCCCCAAGATCTTCTCCCTTTTCCTTTCTAAGATCCTTTGCCCCCTTTCCCTGTTGAGGTCCTTTCCCCTCTTTCCCCCCTAAGGCCTTTCCACCCCTGAGATCTTCTCCCTTGTCCTCCCCAAGATCTTTTCCCTTGGTTGAGATCCTTTCCCCCTTTCCCCCCGAGATCTTCTCCCTTTTCCTCCCTAGGATCTTCTCCCACCTTTCCCTGTTGAGCTCCTTTCCCCTTTTCCCCCTAAGGCCTTTTCAGATCTTCTCCCTTTTCCTCCCGAAGATCCTTTGCCCCCTTTCCCTGTTGAGATCCTTTCCCCCTTTCCCCCCTAAGGCCTTTTCCCTGCCTGGGATCTTCTCCCTTTCCTCACTGAGATCTTTCCCCCCCTTTCCCTGTTGAGATCCTTTCCCTCCTTTCCTTCCTAAGGCCTTTCCCCCCGCTGAGATCTTCTCCCTACTCCTCCTTAAGATCCTTTGCCTCCTTTCCCCGTTGAGATCCTTTCCCTTCTTCCCTTTAAGGCCTTTCCAGATCTTTTCCCTTTTCCTTCCTAAGATTGTTTCCCCCCTGTCCCTGTTGAGATCCTTCCCACCCTTTCCCGCCTAAGGCCTTTCCCCCCTGAGAGCTTCTCCCTTTTCCTTCCTTAGATCTTTCCCCCCTTTCCCTGTTGGCCTTTTTTCCCCCAGATCTTCTCCCTTTCCTCCCTAAGATCTTTTCCACCCCTTCCCTGTTGAGATCATTTCTCCCCTTTCCCCTCTAAGGCCTTTGTCCCCAGATCTTCTCCCTTTCCTCCCTAAGATCTTTCCCCCCCCCTTTCCCTGCTGAGATCCCTTTCCCCCTTTCCCCCCTAAGGCCTTCCCCCCCCCTGAGAGCTTCTCCCTTTTCCTTCCGAAGATCTTTTCCCCCCTTTCCTGTTAGGCTTTCCCCCCTAAGTCCTTTTCTCCCAGATCGTCTCCCTTTCCTCCCTAAGATCTTCCCCCCTGTTGAGATCCTTTCCCCCCTTTCCCTCCCAAGGCCTTTCCCCCCCCTGAGAGCTTCTCCCTTTTCCTTCCTAAGATCTTTTCCCCCCTTTCCCTGTTGGGCTTTCCCCCCTAAGTCCTTTTCTCCCAGATCTTCTCCCTTTCCTCCCTAAGATCTTCCCCCCCCCCTTTCCTTCCTAAGATTGTTTCCCCCCTTTCCCTGTTGAGATCCTTCCCACCCTTTCCCCCTGAGGCCTTTCCCCCCCTGAGAGCTTCTCCTTCCTTAGATCTTTCCCCCCTGTCCCTGTTGGCCTTTTTTCCCCCAGATCTTCTCCCTTTCCTCCCTAAGATCTTTTCCACCCCTTTCCCTGTTGAGATCATTTCTCCCCTTTCCCCCCTAAGGCCTTTGCCCCCAGATCTTCTCCCTTTCCTCCCTAAGATCTTTCCCCCCCTTTCCCTGCTCAGATCCTTTCCCCCCTTTCCCCCCTAAGGCCTTTCCCCCCCTGAGATCTTCTCCCTTTTCCTCCCGAAGATCTTTTGCAATTTTTCCCTGTTGAGGTCCATTCCCCCTTTCCCCCCTAAGGCCCTTTCTCCCTCTGAGTTTTTCCCTTTTCCTCCCTATGATGTTTTCCCCCCTCTCCCTGTTGAGATCCTTTCCCTCCTTTTTCCCTAAGGCCTTTTTTCCCCCCGCGATCTTCCCCCTTTTCCTTCCTAAGATCTTTTCCCCCCTTTCCTTGTTGAGATCCTTTCCCGCCCTTTCCCCCCTAAGGCGTTTTCCCCCCCAAGATCTTCTCCCTTTTCCTCCCTAAGATCCTTTGCCCCCTTTCCCTGTTGAGGTCCTTTCCCCCCTTTCCCCCCTAAGGCTTTTCCCCCCCTGAGATCTTCTCCCTTGTCCTCCCCAAGATCTTTTCCCTTGGTTGAGATCCTTTCCCCCTTTCCCCCCGAGATCTTCTCCCTTTTCCTCCCTAGGATCTTCTCCCACCTTTCCCTGTTGAGCTCCTTTCCCCTTTTCCCCCTAAGGCCTTTTCAGATCTTCTCCCTTTTCCTCCCTAAGATCCTTTGCCCCCTTTCCCTGTTGAGATCATTTCTCCCCTTCCCCCCTACGGCCTTTGCCCCCAGATCTTCTCCTCCCTAAGATCTTTCCCCCCCTTTCCCTGCTCAGATCCTTTCCCCCCTTTCCCCCCTAAGGCCTTTTCCCCCCTCAGTCTTCTCCCTTTTCCTCCCAAAGATTTTTCCCCCTTTCCCCCTAAGTCCTTTCCCCTTGAGATCTTCTCCCTTTTCCTCCCTAAGATCTTTCCCCCCTCTCCCTGTTGAGATCCTTTCCCTCCTTTCCCCCCTAAGGCCTTTTTTCCCCCGCGATCTTCCCCCTTTTCCTTCCTAAGATCTTTTCCCCCCTTTCCTTGTTGAGATCCTTTCCCGCCCTTTCCCCCCTAAGGCGTTTTCCCCCCCAAGATCTTCTCCCTTTTCCTTTCCTTATATCCTTTGCCCCCTTAAGGCCTTTTTGCCCCAGATCTTCTGCCTTTCCTCCCTAAGATCTTTCCCCCCCCCCCCCCCCAGTTCCTTGTTGAGATCATTTGTTTCTCCCTTTTCCTTCTAAGGCCTTTTCCCACCCTCAGTTCTTCTCCCTTTTCCTCCCAAAGATCTTTCCCCCCCTTTCCTCCCTAAGTCCTTTTCCCTGAGTTCGTCTCCCTTTGCCTCCCTAAGATCTTTTCCCCCCTTCCCGCTTAAGATCCTTTCCCCCGTTTCCCCCCTAAGGCCTTTTCCCCCCAAGATCTCCACCCTTCTCTTCCCAAAGTCTTTTTCCCCCTTTCCCGATTGAGATCCTGTCCCCCGATTGACCCTTAGGGCCTGTTCCCCACGAGAAAGATTTCCCTTTTCCTCCCAAAGATCTTTTCCCCCCTTTCCCCCTTAGGCATTTTTTCCCCAGCCCTTTCCTCCCTGAGATCTTTCCCCCCCTTTCGCTGTTGAGATCCTTTCCCCCTTTCCCCCTTTCCCCCCTTCATTTCCTTCACCAACATCCCCAGCATCACTTGCATCATCCGCATCCTTGGCAGGCGCTGATGCGGATGATGTAGGTGATGCTGGCGATGTGCCGCTGGAGCTGCTAAGGATGCGAAAGCGCACCGGGGGGAATCGAACACCCCAATGTTTTTGACAAGCTGAGTTGCGCAAGCCCGCACAATGAACAGATTTAGTGAAGCGTCTTCGAATCACCGCGTGGTACGTGGACCCCCCCCCCCCCACAATAGTCTGAAATGGTGCCCCTGGGGAGGGGTTAGGGGAGGGGTAACAGGTAAAGAGGTAAGGAGCATTTCTTGTGTCCAACACGCCGTCTGTTGGCGGATTTGGAAAGGGTATGCTGTTAAGACATTTTGGAGGACTCAGGGCTCCAAATTATCAGGCTTTGGGGACAGAATAATAGGATATTTGATAATTTGAATCTCCAGGTTCTAGATTTATCATCCCCCAACGGGCACTATAGCCGGGGGGGTTGCATATATATATATATATACATATAGATACATATATATGTATACATACTCATGGACACAATGAGCCAGACTGAGCCGTTTGTTTTCGGGGCGAAAGTGGAGGTTGGAACTGGCTCGTGGGATGCCTCTGACCCGTGGCCCTTGTCTTTTTCTTTGCCTTTCGCCGGCCGCCTCAACCAGTTTGTTGTTCTCTAGGTCCCCCAGCAGTGCCCTTTGACCCTTTTTTTGCGGGAGGGTTCCGCTACTAAAATAGATTACGGGAAAAAGTTGGTCCCCTTATTCTAACCTCTCTACTGGATGCATTGGGACTCGACTCTGTGATTTTTCGGTTCTTCAATCTTTCCCGAGCTTCTTAACGAACACCCGCGGCAGGTTCTTCCAGAAGCTAAGAACCGTACGAACTGTTTACCGGCCGGGTTTTCAGCAGTCCACGGGCATAACAACCTGCAAAACGCAGGCTCAAGTCGGCTCAGTTGATGGGTTGTGGGGCCATCACCTGGAGCTGGATTTTACCCATGATGCGCTTCTCCAGTTAAAGGTAGCACGCTTTTTTGCTGGCCTTTTCGTCGGTTGCAGTTGCTTTCTCAGCGCCTTACCCAGGGGTCCTGAAGCGCCCGCAGCAAAAGCCTCAAGGATAGGTCTTTAGCATCTACTTCGCTCTGATACAGGCATGGTCCAGTTGCATTTTCTGGGGACCAATAGATAACGCAGCGCTTGGCGTATAATTTTCACAACCAAATGAGAGTGTAGTGACCACACTTCAGCAAGCGGAGAGCTGTGCTGGCCCATAGTAAGCGGAGAGCAGCCCTGGGTAAGAAACCCAGGGCCCGGAAAGATGGCCTTAAT